CCGTATCTCCAAGTGTGTGTGTCGAGAGATAAGGAAATTCGACTAGTGTTACGCTCCGTCCATGCCCGACCGTTTCCAGGGGCCAGGACGTAACATTACTCTTTTTTTCTTTTTTGCTAATACACGTTTCGATCAAATATATTTATGATCATTTTTAGCCAGACTTGTAAAACAAAGTCGAAAAATAAAGCAGTCACACTGCGCCAACAACTCAGTGAAGCCAAACACAGATAATCATAGATAACCGGTTATTGAACTGTCATCTATGATTTTGACAATTGGCAAATTATCAAACTGCTAATTTTCAAAATCATGGATGCGTTGATAACAGTTCAATAACCGGTTATCTATGATTATATTTGTGTTTGGCTTCACTGAGTTGTTGGCGCGGTGTGACTGCTTCGTTTTTCGACCATTACAAGTCTGAAGATGATCATAAATATATTTGATCGAAACGTTCCCGTGTATTAGCGAAAAAGAAAAAAAGAGTAATATTAATTTATTACTTTACTTCTTGACCACCTACACCTGTGGATTACGGCTTATTGGTCTTTTATTATCTTTTTAACCCATTTGCATCATAAGCGCATATATGTGCGCATTTTGCCTGGCAACTATCACCAGAGCGCATATAAATGCGCTTCAAATATTATCACGTTGTGCAAAATAATTAGATTCCATTCCGTTTATTTTTGTGAATCTATAATGAAGTAAAAATTCTTTATTTATGCAATATCGATTTTATTTTTCATATTTTGTAACATTTTCATTAAAATTTAAATACAGTAAAAAAAAATTTTGGTGATAAGAACGAATTTTTGACTTTTCTTTGTGATGCAAATGGGTTAAATATCTATATATTTTTGTTTATAGTTTTGTCTATGTTTTTTTTTTTTTATTTTTATGATTACAGGTAACAATACCAAAGAATACAAAATAGCATGCCAAATCAAGGTCGGATATCCCTGAGCTACGTCTTTCTATTAAGTGTCTTTCTGACCAGTTCATTATGGATTGTTGTCGGTACGTAATATTTACAATACAATATCGTAAAATTAAAAACATATCTCACTTCTCAGCTTTTTACGTTTTTTTTTTTTCAAACAACAGAATTATTTGAAAAGAAACTAAGCACAAATTATGTTCCCGTTAAAAATATAATCACAATTCTAATAGGGAGAAACCCAGAGACACACAAATATTGCACAATAAAAGCGAAGTAGTAAATACATATATTACAACGCGTATTATTACAGCGCTTACGTAATACGCAGAGCAGAATTACGAGATGAACCAAATGTTAAGGCGCGACATAAACGACTCCGCAACAATAAATATTACGTTTGCCAGCGGGATTTTAAGTCGTAAAATAGAGCGCGACTCCGGCCTTTGCGAGAGCGCAACCTCGTAACCTCTTTTTATCGAGAAAGTACTTACCGGGATTTGCATGCGATCCCATCGATTGTATTCATGGGAAATCATGCGACTTCCCTTCTGAAAGAACGCGAGTTATGAACTATTTCGAGCGTGACGAAGAAATTGTACGTTTTCGAGGCGGGAAGCGTCTCGTGTATTATACGCGTAATACGCGAGAAAGATCGGCATAGTCTTATCGCGACAATCTTCTCTCAGGATTGATTATTAATCGTTGCTCGAAAAAATGAACCGCGTTTCCGTTCGCGCTAACGAACGGATCCGATGATGATAAAACACGGCGCGATTATCTTATTTTCGTATCGCCTGTTAGAAAGTCTAGTATATTTCGTTGTCCGAACGACAGAGAAAAGAACTTTCGCCGAATATATGTCCGTTTTATTTCAAACTGCAACATTCATTTTCAGTTTTGCTGAATTCGCGACACGTGACGCAAAGTACAATAGTTTCACACAATTTTAACATCTCGTCGAAATTGCGCTTGAGAAACCTTTGGAATTCGTTGAGCTCGCGTTCATGTGCACGTGGTATTTAAAAAATCTGCATCTTATCTGAAACGAGAAGATTATTGATAACAAACGTGTGGCGTGTGTTCACGCAAACTTGTAATTGTCGCGTGATTGAAAGCTGGCGCGCGGCAATTGCCGCTTCCTGAAAAAATGATGTGTCGACAGACATATTTTCCGCGAATCGCAAAATTTATCTTCAAGAGAATCGTCGGCTTGTTGCGCAACTCTTGCGATAGAATAACAATTCGCCAAAAAAACAGAAATTATCGCGTTTCCGGAGTCAAAGCGGAAGCAACAGCGCCTCGATCGTTCATTTCATGGTTCAAGTGGATGACGACGTCATTCCGGGTTGTTTTTTTCTTTTTTTTTTTGCAGGAAATCCCATTCGATTCAGGACGAAACGGGAATCGGAAATGGCGTCGACCAACTGGACAGAGTTGGCCGACGAGTGGATCGCGGCGAAGGCGAGAGCCGCCGAAAAGATGGACGTGGCTTTGTTGCCGTTCAATGAACGATTTCGGGAACTGCCGCCCACGGCGCAGACCTTTGTCGTCAACGGCACCAGTCCGGAAGAATTGGAACGGGTAAAGAGAATGTCTTCTTTGCATCTGTGTGCTGTGACAAAATCGCATTGCCAAGTTTGCACAAGTTTCTTCTTCATCTGTTGGATTGAAAATTTTCCGCCGCAAATGTTTTTTTAATGCAACAATTTACTTAATAAGAAGCTGTCGATCTTAGATCGCGGATGTTCTACGGAAGAAGAACGTTTTTGGAAATTACGGAGAACAATTCATTTATCGTAAGAATGGAATAATTTTCGTATTTTTTTTACACGTACAAAAGTATACAATTGACTCACGACGAGCGCGTAACGTATTTGCACACAATGTAAAAAAAAAACAACGATGTTTATCTAACGCGGTAGATACCAACGTTGATATATTTGCGTCACACAATTGATTGGAATCGATCTATTTCCACGCTTTGTATTGACAAAGCGATTACACATCGCAATCAGACCGTTGAAAGCACATTCGATACACTCGATTAAATGGAAAAAGTAGCATCTACGTCGAGAGATTCGGTGCCTCTTCCGTAAACCGAAAGCTACGAAACGCGCGCGCGCGTGTATTATTCTGCAATGCGCCATCAAACGCGCGTGCACATAAATCGGAAGAATCGGCGGTGAAATTGAATGAAAAGGACCATCGAAAAACTTTCTAACGTGTTCGCTTTGCTTTTATGATGGATAAATGGGAAATTGATCCGAATCGATGCATTTTCACTTCTGCGTTTGTGTGTGCGCGGAGCTTTTTAATCGGCTCACATCACGCGCGCGCGCGCGTTTTCTCCTTGATCTCCGTGAAATCAAGTTTGGGAAAGCATTCATCATCAGAATTAAATAGGAATCGATAATGAATCACGTAATTGATACGTCGGAGAAAAATCGCCGCGAGTAAAACGGCGTTTACATCCGTATCGGAGGACTAGCTGCGATCCGATTAATTTTTTTACGGTGAAATATCTCGGATTGTCCAATAAAAGCTGCTGGATAATCTAAAAGTAAATTAAAAAAAAACAAACAATGCCAAATGGACGCAACTGAGAATTCTGCCAAGTTCAGAATTGTCATCAATGTTCTTCCGTGTTTCACCCTGGCCTCGCCTTTCTCAGATTTGTTTTCTCCCTTTTCCCCTTCCCGTTTTCCTTCTCTCCGACGGGGAAGAGGACGATGTCGCGCCGCGGCTCTCACTTTCAGTGCCAAAATACTTTCACCGTGGCGGATGCAGGTATACAACTCCTTCTATCCTTCCTATTCGTATGTTGTTGACATGCGCACGTACGGCGGTGTCAATGACTTTCACCCGCGAAAGTCGCGCGCGGATGATCATCGATGTACTCTTCTTTCCTTCTTTCGTGACATCTTTATTGCGTAAAAAAATCCGCCGCGGTTCCTTCAATCTCGGAAAAACTAAACGCGCGAAATTCCCGCGCGTGTATGCCGATCGAAAGAGAGAAAGTTACACAGATCGAGGCGCAGACAGAAGCTTGTGAGTTTTTATTTCATTCGAGGCTCTGCGATATATTACGGCATGTGCACGCAAAAAAAAAACTCGCATTTCGTTTGATTTGGGTTTTTTTTTCTTTAAATAATTCTTCAAGAAGACCGCGTATGAGATCGCGAGCGATCAAGAACACGCAATGTGTCTCTGTGAAATTCGTTGTCTTATCCATCATTTTGATCTAAACTTTGTCACAAATTCTCGCTATCGCACGCTTAATTGCAGTTAAATTACTCCCGGATGCTGTGGGACATCGAAACGATCCAACCGAACGGCCATTTATCGGGATTCGTAGATAAAGCGCTCAAGCTGTTGGATTTAAGACAGGTGATGATGGAGGTCGAGACCTCCGTGATGTCCAAGGTCTCTTGCACCGCCTGCAAAGTCGGCGCCGGATTGCTGCAACATTACATAAAAGTCGGCAAGAGTGACGAGGAGATAATGACCAACATCTATCAGTTCTGCGTGTCGCTCAACATTCAGAGTTCTCGAGTTTGCCACGGTGTCACCGTGCTGTTTGGAGTAAGAATTACTTTTATGTTTTAATCACTAAAAAGAAATTGTTAAAAGTTTTGCAACCTTTCCAAGATATTCTAATAAACACTTGGCACACGTTTGTACCGAACAAAACCAATTAGAAAAGACGGTTTTCTTTACAAAAAAAAATATCTTGGTTGAATTCCAGAGAGAAGTGATCTACGTGTTGAAGCAGGTGAACATGGGTCCGGCGCAGATCTGTAGCTTCGTAATCGGTGACGCGTGCGACGACGCGTTCAATCCGTTACATGAATGGGAAGTGGCTTTTCCGCCTGTGAAGAAGCCGCCGATCAGACCGCCAATACCGCCGCAGGAAGGTGCGCCGACCTTCAAGGTGCTGCATATCTCGGACACCCATTTCGATCCGTATTATCAAGAGGGAGCGAACGCGGAGTGCAACGAGCCGCTCTGCTGTCGTCTGACAAACGGGGCACCGTTGACAGCGTCGGGAGCCGCGGGAAGATGGGGCGACTACAGAAAGTGCGACACACCCAAGCGAACGATCGATCACATGCTCAAACACATCACCGATACACATTCAGTGAGCGAATCGTTCGAGCAAAAGTTTGAGAGAAATATCGAAATAACTAGAATAAATCTCGATTCTAGAACAAATCTCGTTTTTTTTAAGCAATAATTGTTTTTTGTATTAATTATTTGCAAAAAGAAAATTATTTGCAAACGCAATTCATCTTTACTGGTTTTACAATTGTTACAGGACATCGATTACATTTTGTGGACTGGCGATTTACCGCCTCACGACGTGTGGAATCAAACCCGGGAAGAAAATTTAAAAGTTTTGCGCGACACGGTCGATCAGATGGTGGAGATGTTTCCGGGCATTCCGATTTTTCCGGCGTTGGGCAATCACGAAAGTGCCCCCGTCAACAGGTAGTATTATAGGACATGGATCCGTCCTATTAATCGCACACGCTCAAGACACTCACAGACACTTACTTGCGTTTTATCTCGTTGCTCCACCACTTTCACTCTTCTGTGAAATATCATTTGAAATAAGATTATGATTCGCGACTCAGACATCCATCAGGCGCGTGAAATACTTTTCTCTTAGATTAAATTCCGAAGTTTTTTATCGCGTAGCGCGGATACTTTACGATTTTAAATGGATTGTGGTTGCGTTTAAAACAAATTTTGTTTGAAGGAAACGTCAAATAGTTTCTACTTCACAATTAAATTCAGTGATTTATGACGATATTTGCGATAAACTTTTTTCCAAACGACGCAGTTTAGAAACTGTGCGCGATACTTGAACGCACTTTTTTCAGTTTTCCACCGCCTTTCGTACCAGAAGAAAGCAGTATCTCGTGGCTGTACGACGAACTCGACAAACATTGGCGACGGTGGTTGCCGGCCGGTGTGTCGCACACCGTTCGTCGTGGCGCCTTCTACTCGGTCCTGGTCCGGCCGGGTTTCCGGATACTCTCCGTCAATATGAACTATTGCAACAACAAGAACTGGTGGCTTTTAATAAATAGCACCGATCCGGTGAGCGAGCTGCAGTGGCTCGTGTACGAATTGCAAGGCGCTGAAATAAACGGCGAGAAGGTGCATATAATCGGCCACATTCCGCCCGGCCATTCGGATTGTTTGAAAATTTGGTCCAGGAATTACTATCACATCATCAATCGGTCGGTACTTGATCGCACATATCGTATCTTACTATTTAAGTGCACTGTGAAATATCTCTGTGTGGTTTTATTTAGATATGAGTCAACGATCACCGCCCAGTTCTTCGGGCACACGCATTACGACGAGTTCCAGATGTTCTATGATACAACGGACCTCGGTCGGGCGCTCAGCATCGCCTACGTTGGTCCTTCGGTCTCGCCTTACTATGATCTCAACCCCGGCTATCGCATATATTACGTCGACGGAGACCACCCCAAGACCACAAGAGTAAGCGATAAATATTCATGTATAATTATCGTTTCTTGGATATATCGTCTGTCTCATATGTTCAGCGAAATCAGAAAATGAAACACATGGATGCGTCATATAAATCGACGCATCCATAAATCGACGCGATATAATTGTGAGAATATTCTGTACACGTATCCTTGAACGCGCCATTGTTGATCTGACACAAATCCATATCTATAATCTAAATAAGTAACACAATAAGCGACTGTAGAACAAAAATTAGAAACTAGATATATTTTCTAGATGGTCGTCGATCACGAAACTTGGGTAATGAATCTCAAAGAGGCAAATTTGTACGACTATCCAATCTGGCATAAGATGTACAGCGCGCGACAAGCCTATCAAATGGCATCGCTTCTGCCGAAGGACTGGGATTCTCTGATTGATAAAATGACCAACGAGCCAGCTCTTTTTGATCTCTATTACAAGTAAGTATCTCTATTCGCATAACGATTCACAATGCGTATCATAATTTGATAAAAGAATATAATTGGTACATCTTGTATCTCTACCTCTTTGTTTTACTACTTTAGATTTTTGTTTCTACTTTAGACACTATTATAAGAATTCTCCAGTGCGACCAGCGTGCAACGACGAGTGTCGCAAGAGATTGCTGTGTGATTTGCGTAGCGGAAGAAGCCACGACCGAAAAGCATTGTGCCAGAGTTTGGAGGCGAGAATCGACGATGAAACTAGGACAGGTTGGCGAGCGTGGATCTACAAGGGACTTGCATTGTCGTACGTACACCAGCTATGGCTCGAACTTTATTCCGGCGATACTCAGACTAACGAAGTCAAAAGCCTAATCTAATCAACTGCTTTAATCAGACACACAAGTCAAATCTGTACCTTATGCTCTGTAATCTATTTGTTGCTTAACTCCTTTTCTTATTTTTCTTTGAAAACTGTGTTTTCTAAAGAGGTTATAGAATACATCTACAATTGACAGAAGAAAGAGTCTGCTTTCTGTTAATTTCTAACAGTAACTTTAAGAGAGAACAATTTTAACAAAATAAAACAGTAAAAAGCTATATGATGATTTATGGTAATCAGCGTTAATTATAAATTTTAATTTAAATCGCAATTTAGCTTAACAAAAATCTTCTAAGAAGTTGTAATGTTGATGGTTTTGAAATGTTAATGGCAAACGCAAGTAACCTGGTTTGGTCACACATGACGATTGTGTAAAGCGTGTTAACAATCAAATAAATAAAATATCAACAAATCAAAGTACATGACGACATTTTGGTCGTAAGTTTGAACGGATTAATCAATCGATTTTGAATATAACAATGAGTATAATGCAATATTTAGACATTAAGCATAATATAAATATTTTATATAATGTGAATAAGAATTTAATTGACTGTGCCACTAGCAGCACGAAAGTTTATTTTTTCAAGAGTTATTTACAGGCTTGAAAAATAACTTCGACAATCTCAATTCTATATTCAATACCATATAAGAATGTTTGTTAGATTGCTTCACATGTAGATGCGCATGTGTGTATGTATGTGTATGCAAAAACGCTCGAATGAGTCTTTTATAACCGACTAAAAAATGCGTGCGAAAAATTAACGTAACATATTTTCTACGAGAAACGCAAATCTCTTTCATGTACAAAAACGAAAAACAGACGCAACGATAAACAACTTTCTCATGTGTGTTTCAGAAGTTTCTTCGCGAACCAAATCGCAAAATCATAGTTCAACACGCACAGTCGCATCTTGCGTGAAGTTTGAAACATGTACATACACGCTCCTTCGAGTGTATCATGAATGTAAAAATAAAAATGTAAGAGAAAGACGTGTGTTAAAAATATGACATTAATAATCTTGCCGTACAAATGCGTGCCTTTGTATTGATTGAAATATAAGTTGTACATATGTTCTTTTTTAATACACACATAAATTTTATCAATAAAACAAATCACAAATACAAACCTGTGTGGTGTTGGGATTTAACCATTCGAACTTGTTGGCTTAAGCGCGAAAGCGCGCGATGACGAATCACACTCGCGTTGCTGTTTCGCAGAATGCACAAAAATATGTGTAAAAAGTTTTACTTACAGAGATACGCTTAACCTCATGAGCGCAATAGGTACATATATATAAACCAGCTTTATCTCGTTAAAGCGCCAAATAATCTGTACATATACGCGAAATCCATAATTTTATTTGGTGTCGGATCAGTAACAGCTGATGCTTGATATTTCTGTCTTCACGCACCGGCAAACTAAGTAAGTAGCAAAGTGCATTTTGCAAGTAAACACTGATACAACTAAAAAGATCAATTATGTTATTATATATAATCGCTGTTTCTATTTTTACAGAATGTCCGTGGTGATGGCCATCCCCAGATTTGCGTACAATCTACCAAAATACGTTCTAGGTCTGGGCTAGAAGAACGAGAAAACCGGATGTGTGATGCAAATACGTGTGACTTATATCTTGTGATGTTAAATTACTAGAAATAATTTACGACGCGACGTCGCGCGTCGCGTCCGACACGCGAACTTCGTTGCCGATGACGATCGACGATTGTGCTCGTCGAAATTGCGTATCGTATCTGATTTGCGTGTGTGCGCTTCCGTAAAATAATTCGACACAACAAATAATCGTTCAAGATCGAACACGGTAAATCTAAATACACCACTACGTCATGTGTGTATTTACACAAAAGTGTATCGTTCGCATTAAAAGATAATCGCGCGATACTTTCTTTTCCCAACGAAAAATCGCGTGCTTCGAGTCAACAATTGGAATTCGGTGTGTAATTTCCGTGAGTTTTAGTTTCCGATGAGAGAAAGCTACGTGAAAGAAGACGTTCTTATGTCAATTGTTTTTTCGCATTTTATTTATACATATGAAGATCACAGAAGAAGAACTTGATACTAAGTCAATTTTTTTCGATTTTCTGTTTCTGATGTTATTTGGTAGTTAAAATAGAGTATTTTTTAATTATCCAAAGCGAGAAAGGGAAATTCTTGATAGGTTCCGAGATAGAAATATTTTTATAAAACGTGTAACACACAGAAATACATATACGTTTCGAACTTTAAAATCGCTCTTCTCTAAAATTACGAAAATGTGACTTACCAAATTCTTCTTCTGTAACCTTCCTGTGTTTCAACAAATATAAAAATGACGTACTATATATCGCGTGTTTACTCAAATCCGAGCTCATCCGAAATTATATATTACGTAACCGACATTCAATTACTATTTATTTTAACTTCTCTTCAATAACAAACGTGTATGTGTGTGTGCGCGCGCGATTTTGTGTGTGTGTAAAATATGTAAATATATGAAAATATTGTAAAGTGAATATCTCCCCCTCTTGTTAGTCATTAACTGACGAAATATCTCATCAATTAAATTAAATGTCTCGTCAAAAAAACGGTTTATATTTTTTTTCCACGGTGTCATCTGCGCACAATTAAGACGCTCTGTATAATTTATATACGTATATATACCCCACATTTACCGTTCTTAATTATCAACTTATCAATTAATTAAACATACGTTAATTAAATATAACGTTGCGTGACTCTCGTGTGATATGTTTAGATCGGACAGGTCACTTTTAATGCTAAATGTGAGGTATGTCAATGTGGGATTCCGTATAATGTCTGCGATAAAGCAAAATTTATATAAATATATTGAAAAGTAGCGATTGTTTTCCAAGTGTGTTCCTAGCACTTCAATTAACATCTGCGATTTAATCCTGGAATGCGTATTACTTATTATTATTGACTATTCTACGTTTGTTAAAACCATGTTACATTACATGTATAAAGTGAAGTTTGTTATCGGATCAAACAAACGTAAAAAAATTGAGAAGAAATGCTGAATAAACTTGTTTATTTTTGCGTTGATATTTGTATTAAACATATTTTGACGCACTCGCTTTGATATCCTTTGTCCTTTTTTCCCATAACTAGCACAACACAGGAGCGTACTACGCGCACGCTATTGTTATTTTTATATAACGTGTTGTCAGTGAGCACAACCTGTCACCGCGATGACAGATAGTATATACGTCTTATAAACCGTATAATACACATATGAGAAATGTCAGAAATAACGCATAAAAATCAAACTCAAACAATAGTGAGAGAGAGAAGTGGAAAAACAACACGTGACTAAAGTCACGTGACAAGGAAAAGGGTAAAAAAGAGAATATTATATATATTATATGTAATATTCTATATCTATATATAATACACATACGAATATATGTATATATATATATACATATATACCGTA